ATGTTATAAGTGGTTGAACCCCCATTGAAGTAGTTCTATGAATCAACCATGAGCCCTAGTCATTGCAGTTACAAAGAACGTAGCGATTCCAACAAGGCAACACCTTGAGTCCCCAAATATCTAGTTGTTGGTTGTGATATAGCTCATTAAGTCCCCCATTTATAGATCAAAAAATGAAGTTGATCATTTAATCTCTGTTATTATGTTAATGGTTGTGTTAAATCCCTATTTATAGATGATTTTCCCAAGCATAGATGGCATAGATCCCTCCAACTCTTCGCTAGACAGAGATGGAGATCAAGAAGCCCTTAACAAAGCCTGCCAGTCTGCTCCTCAGAGCCGGGGGATGCTCGACATATGTAGCACACACCTTGTATATATTTAGTTTGTTTTTTACATGTACTCATGTTGTGCAATGTGCATGTACATATATATATATATATAAGTGTATGTGATATATATATATATGCATATATATATATATATGTAACATATATATATATATACGTCGGAAGCATATGTACAGTATGTTGGATGCATTGGATGCTTATGTGAATATGCCATTTCTAGATACACTAGCTATAGAAACGTACTGGCTGTATGCGCAAAGGCAATGATCTGGGATACACCTTGAGCTTTCCCATCGTTATTTTCGAAGCGCCCAGGCGAGAACAAGAACAAGAATGTGCATCAATCCAGCTTGTCTGGAATGGGTCCGGCGCCTCTGGCACATGCTGGATGTGCAGAGATACCGCTGCGGTTTCACACTTGAATACTTGAATATTTAGTCCAACATAGTGTATGTTTGTGCGGCTCGAGTTGTTTGCAAGTGTCTTCGTAGACCCCCCCAAGTACCCATAAGGTGTTGCTGTTGTACCGCATCATTTCAATACTTTTACATATACTTATACTCTAATTGTTTAGGGGTACTTTCAGTGGCCATTTCAGGAATCTAAATCCGAGGTACCTACCATATGTAAGGCCTATATAAGGCCTATGGAAGAGAATATCCCTACAAAATATGGTCTTATATGGTACAGTACCTCCATTTTAGGATCCTGAAACTCCCATTGGTACTTGGAGCGTCTCGGTTTCGATTTGGCCACCTCTGGCCACCAACCACGCACCAATGCTGTGTTTTTCTCCCTGGTCTAAGGTCTGAAGTTAGTGCTACCTGAGGGGACCGAGAGGAAGATCATGAAAGGTGGGGATGTGGCAGGGTACTCCATGAAAACTGCCAGTTTCATGAATTTCTAATGTGATTTAACTACACATTTTAAGCAGGTTCATGTTTTTTTTTTATCAAACGGCATATATAATTAAGGATGTAATTGATGAATGATGCCCAATTGATTCTTAAAGGGGTTTATTGCCCTACCTGCTTTATTGCGGATTATTAAGTAAGTAACAAGCCACCTGCGTTCATGCGATGGGATGGGTATTCCTCATGTCCGTAGGACAGTGGGTTGATTACAAAGGGGGAATGATAGAGGAAATCGTTGTGCTTACCCTGAAATATACGCCTAGGAGTGTCCGACGTGTTTGTCTCCATCCATTTCTATGTCTTGCTAGTTGATGTCTCGACATTTTTTTCAAAGACTCCGCTACTGTAGCATCAGTTCGTTCCATGCCCCCGATGTTTTGGCTCGTTGGTGGTTTGGAACATGAATTTTATTTTTCCATATATTGGGAATTTCATCATCCCAACTGACGAAGTACATCATTTTTCAGAGGGGTAGGGCTCAACCACCAACCAGATGGTTAATGGTTAAATAATGGTTAATATTGCTTAATAATGGTGTATAATATATTGGTTAATAATGGTTATATATACAGTGAACCAACCAGTTGGGCTTGAAGTGTTGAAGCCTCTGGACGCTGCATTTTGGCCCACGAGGCCCCCAGTCCTTTCACAGTCCCAGGATACGAACGAGTGGATGTACCAGCTGCGCAGATCTCAGATCCAATTGTTTGGTGTGAAGATGCGGCCTTGACCAAAAGGTACAGGAAGGGGTCACTATCAGTTCTATGTTGCTTTACTTCCCCATCTAGTTGTAGAATGTTGTAGATATATCCATCAAAAATCCAATAGTTAGCCCAGTTATAAACCCATTTGCCCATCTAGGGAACCCCTTCGCTCATGTGCAAGAAATATTCAAAAACACAAAGCTGGATCATGCTCCCAAAAAAACGACTGCTGACAAGCCGAGGAGAAAAGGGTAAACTCTTTGGTGCAGACATTGATTTCCTGCAAAAATCAAAAAAAGAGACGGGGGTTGAACTCTGATATGTTGTTCATGTCAGAGTATAGGTCAAGCTGAAGTTTGTGAGAATTTTCGGGACGCTGTATCACTCTATTCAGGCCGGCCTTGAGTCTTACGGTCATAGAGTTATAGAGGGGTCAAGATGTAAGATCGTTGGACTTGAAAAGTTGAAATCACTCAACACTAAAACTAATTAATGTCAACCCCGGATGAATAAACCATGGTTTATTTATTAGGGGGGTACTCCTCCAATAGTCATAATCTGATACTTAAATGGTACCCTCCCAATTAAACAATCTGGGGGTTTATTAATCCAGGGTTGACATTAACATGTGAGCGTCCACCCCAATGTCGACCCATTCTCCTCGGATATCGATGGGATTACTGAGGCTCCCCCATTTGACCCAGAGAATGGCAAAGTGAGCTATGTGAACATCAAGGACAGCTCCCGCCTTCAGTTGAGTCATGGGGGATGGTCATCAATCCATAGGATTTTGAGATCTTTTTCGTAGGGTTCATGGCATGAAACCATGATAGGATGGAAGGCATGAACCCCATGATCCCTCTGAGGGAATCCGAAAAATGATGTTGCTGCTATGTCTTTAAAATTATTATCCCATGATTATATATATACATGGGATAACCCCATGATAAATCCAACCATACTGAATACAATGGGTATATATCCCCTAGATTCCCCATAGATAAAAAACAATGGCTTTCGAGAGAATCGGTGCAGGATTTACCTCAATGGGCACAGGTGTCCTTCAAAGGTACCGAAAAGTGGGGTGCCGCAGTGGTTTGGTCCAAACGCCCATGCAGGAAAAAACATGGTTTTCTACATGTATAAACTGTTTGGTGGTGACTGGAACCATGGAATTTTGAATGACTTTCCCATTCAGTTGGGAATTTCATCATCCCAACTGACGAACTCATATTTTTCAGAGGGGTATATAGGTATACCAACAACCAGCAAATGGTTGTAGAGGTTATGTTTGAAACCAAAAAAAAGGCCAAACTTGGAAAAAGTTCCAACAGAACAGCCGGACACATCTCCAAAAATGGCCATGTGAGCCCTTTTTTCAAGATAGTTGGAGGGTCTAGGTACAGAAACCCCAGAAACTCCAGTTAATATCAGTCAAGGCCCTTGAAACTATAGTTAATTAATGTTAATTATACGTTGTTGTTTTTTGCTATCATTCCATCAATGGTGTGACTAATTGACTTATAACTGGTGCCCAAACGCCTGTGGTTCTGCAAAACGGTGCCGCAGCATGTCCAAAGATGGTTGGACCATGTGGGACACGGGAAAATATCTGCAAGATTTATTCAGATTCTCTAAACTGGATGAAGATGGTATATTCTACCAGTCTATTCTACCAGTCAAAAACCTCGATGCTCAGCACCTGTCAAAAAACATCGGTGAAGTCCAAAAAAATGTTCGCAACAGATTTGTCACTCTTTGCTACGTACCTAATTGTCCTAACTTCCTGGAATCAAGGCTCAACACCATCCAGTCCATTGTTTTCAATGCGGCCTTTGGTCGATCGTTGGAGACTCAGATTTGAAAAAACACCCTGTTTCATCCACTGATTGGGGAATCGAGAGTTGGGGAAGGACCATTTTTTTTTCCAAAAGGCTACTTGTTTTTTTTGGGTGGATATGACATGGATATGACATGACGGTCATTTGATGTTCATATCCATGACCCGAAGAGGCAGAACTTGCTGATTTGCGCTCCCACAGGCCTGTGAATTTCCAGGGGTTTCGATGATGCGCAAAATGTGATGTGGTTTGGTGGTTTTCGGATCGGAGAGACCATTCGGAAGCAGTTCTTCATGAGTATATTGGTTAATAATGGTCAATAATGGGGTATAATATATTGGTTGATAATGGTTAATAATGAAAGGAAATCCGGGATGTACTTGAAGATAGCATCAAAAAATCGACTGTGCATCTTGATCCTTTTTTTGGTCCCATCATGTGAATATCATCCTTGAACCTCGGGTCCCTTGCGTCCCTGAAGGGACGTGCCAGTTCCTAGAGTTCTTAGATCAAGCCGCGCAGTCATGGTCAGTCATGGTCAGTTCACTGACCGGAGTGATTCTATTGAACAGGGGAAACCAAACTTGCTTGTGACCCAGCTATCAGTTATCCCCTTCATTTGCCTCTTATATTACCTTTTTCTGGCTGGTTTATCTCATTTGGTTGCTGATTGAAGAGAGTTATACTACGCAATATATTCGGAAATGCATAAAATTGAAATCCGCGTCAACCAACCATTGTATAGGGGATTTGGGAATAGTTTCTTGCAGTCTCAAAAAACGGGGTTTGCAACTGGTTTCGACATGTTTTTTCGACCTGGAATTCAAAACCACAGGGCTATTTGATGGCCGATTACCTTGGAGATATATTAAACTAACATAGCTATGGCAAATCTCCATCTTTAATAGGTGAATCAACTATTAAAGGTGGTGATTTTCAATAGCTAGTTTGGCATAACCAGAGGGTACATATGGCTGGTTGGTGGTTTAAAACATGTCCTATTTTCCATAATATATGGGATAATCCTTCCCATTGACTAATTTTGTTCAAGGTGGTTAAAACCACCAACGAGTTGGAAACAAGAACTCAACCATGGTCAGCTTCTGTCTCCCCAGCGAAATTCCTGGGAAAACAGGTGCTGGCAAGACCAACATCGCAGTGCTCACCATATTGCGACTCATCGGGCAGCACATGGACGCTGCAGGTGTGTCAATCTGGAGATGTTTATAAGGGAAAATCAACGGAAAATCCCATGGAAAATCATGGGTAATTTGAGGGTAGCCGATTTTAGGAAACCCCCATATGACATTATATGACATTTTATGCCGTGTTTTCTTTTGAACGTTGGCATAAGTGTATTGTAACACTTGTGGCAGGTGGCTTGGGTCGCGACTTCAAGGCTGGCGGCAGCAATCCCGGTGTCACCATCCGTTGCAACGGGTGCGAAACTTTGACATCGCACAAAACCAACGATGGTCTATAGTTACTGCCCTTACTTGTAACATGTTATGACCCATATGCTCCATGTATGGTATATTTAGCTACATTTGGGTGATTTTTAGAGTAAATGTTGTTATATAAATATTCCATACATGGAGCATGTGGGTAACTGGCTTATAACATCTTAGAACCTCACGAGGTATATTTCAGCTTAGTGGAGTGATTTCATCACTGGTTTTCTCAAGCCATATGTGTACCATGTTCTTGCCACGACCAGGTTGATTGTGACATATTCAAACAGTTCAACTTGAGGCAATATTGCAGATATGCGACGCATCTTTTGCCAGAAACGTATACGACATTGTAACACTTTACTGGTTGGTGGTTTGGAACATAAATTTTATTTTTCCATATATCCGGAATTTCATCATCCCAACTGACAAAGTCCATCGTTCTTCAGAGGGTATAGGTATACCACAAACCAGATGGTTCATGGTTAAATAATGGTTAATATTGCTTAATAATGGTTATATATAGTAAAGCATTAATATTGCTTAATAATGTTTATATATAGTAAACCATGAATATTGCTTAATAATTGTTTTATATAGTAAACCAACCACTTTATGGATTTTCCTTGGATACTTCAGACTCGGACCAATCTTTGGAAATCACGGCGCGAACTCGGCGCTCTGCGCTCGATCGAAAGGTGGTGTACATGGCTCCAATGAAAGCATTGGTCTGTTGCTCAGGATCCGTTGTGAAATGTTCGCCGCATGTCGTTGGTGAAATCATAACCCCCGAACAAAATCACCCAGTCATGTAGGTAAATATACCAGCACCATGGTTCGCATATGGGTAATAGCTATTAGCGGCTACAGTCATTGGTTCCTCAGTGCTTATATAATATAATATATATATATATATACAAGCTATAATTGTTTCCTCACTGCCTCACTGCTATACATGTGTTGCAACATCACTTTCATCCGTCAGATTTTTGGAACTCAAAAAAAACATGCTGATTTTGCCATCTCAGGTGGGTGAAGTCTCAGAGAAGTTTCAGCAACGTCGCAACACTCAGCGGATCAGGCATGGAATTTCATGCATACGTTAAGTATATATATATTATATTGATATATATATATATATATATTATATGAAGATATATTAAGATATATTAAGATATATTAAGATATATTAAGATATATTAAGATATATTAAGATATATTAAGACATATTAAAGTATATATTAAGATATATAAAGATATGTTAAGTATACCAAGTTCTACATGTTATATATATATATATATGTATTACACACACAATAAGTCTCAGTGTGTCCCATGTTGTGGAACGCCTCGGGTGAAGAGTTGGATAGCGAGGTCTTGGACCCCTTGGTGTGAACGTGGCCGAATTCACCGGGGTGCGGGGTCAATCGTCGTGGGTTGTGTGGGTTGAGGAACGTGATCACTACATGGGGAACGTGGATACTATGGGTGTGTGGTGTAAACCACCAGAAAACTCGGAAAACCTCGAGATGATCTGATTCCCAGAAACTTTTGTACAGTTTCATCGTTGCTGATGTTTTTCGAGGTTCCCAGTCTCGCTGGCAGGACATGAACCTCACCAAGAAAGAACTGGAGCAGGTGCATGTCATCGTCACAGTACCAGAAAAGTGGGTCAGTGACTCAGGCAGAGGTAGCCTCTGGTAACTTGACATAGCTATGGAAAATGGCCATAGAAATAGTTGATCTACCCATTAATAGCATGGTGGTTTTCCATATAGTTATGTAAACGTTTACCAGGGGTAGGTACTTGTGGAGAATTTCTGCTTGCTACATAGTGGCTGCAGGGCGTGGGTGTCACAGAGGTAAACGACAGGCATGTGAAAGTGGTAGGCATCTCCTTTTTGTAGAACGAGATCATCGGACCTTTGAAAAAAAAACTCAAACCTCCACTCCAGGGTGGTTTCAACAGTGGTGTAAGGCTGTTAGTCTGGTTTTATTCTTTTTCGTCTTCAACTCCGCTTTCTTGAAAATAGATAAATAATAATAGATAGTAGATAAATAGATAAATATAAAATAATAGTTACCCATTTTTTACCGTCATAGATAAATCGTCTCCGACAAGCGATGTATTTGGGATGAGTTGATCGCATGTTCAGTTTAGGAACCTGTGGATTTCCTTATTGGTTGGACTGAACATAGATGAACATAGGGCTCAACAAAAAAACAAAACATAGTTGTTAATAGTTAGTTAATATGAACTATTGTTAATATGTATTAACTAGTTATTGTTTTTTTTAGTTATCAATACATATTGGGCTCAACTGAAAGTAGATGAACATAGTTAGTTCATCGTCATTAATACATATATATATATATATACAATGTGAGGCCCCCAAGATAGCTAAGTTGGTTTATAACTCCAATAACTATGGTTTATGGTATTTACAACTATAGTTGCTGGGGCTTTTGTTAACCAACTTATAACTGGGGGGCCTCACATTGTAGATATATTTTTATTTACCAAAGAAACTGTCAGTACCACCACAATCCATGGGAATAAAACAGGATCCAAAAGATGGAGGTACGTAAACGTACTGTACCATATCAATTGGGCCATATGAATTGTGGTGATATTCACTGCCTCAAAAAATAGGCCAAAAATCCATGGGATTCACCGTAGCATCGCGTGAGTCACCAGCAGCTAACCCCCAACACCGGATTTGAGGATGTGATGACCCGAAACACCGCGTGTGGTGGTGGCCAGATTCTCGTCGCACCGTTGCGCGGTAGGTAGGTCGTGGATTTTTGTTTTCTTCGCTGTTTAATTGGGATGGAACACATTAAACTCCAGTGGCTGCTTTATTGGTTGATTCATATCCAACTGATGACATAACCCATGACGGATCCATGGTGCTGCGATATATGGTAGCATTTACCATCAATAAACCCCAAATGTTAGCATATATACCAGCACCATGGATCCTATGGGTTATGCCATAATGCTCTTAATGGATCTTAATAGTTGAAAACCATGTCTTAAGATTTATGTCATATGGTTCGAAACCCGAGTTTCATGTAGACGTTCCCTGATAAAGTCAACCCTGGATGATTAATCCCCAAACGGCTGTTTCATTGGGGGGGTACCATAAAAAAGTATCAGATGAAATGACTATTGGAGGAGTACCCCCCCTAATGAAAATCAACCATGGATCTATGGTTTATTAACCACTATTAACCACTATTAACCACTATTAACCACTATTAACCATGGTTTAGCAAAATCCATGGTTTATTCATCCGGGCTTTACTTGCGAATCATGGGAGATCCTGGGAAAACCCTGTCATTTGCGCCGGCAGTGCGCGGTGTAAGGGCAAAATGGCCAGGTGCTACCCCGATTTGGGGATGATCAAAGAATATCGAAGATGATAACAATGTGAGGCCCCCCAGCGATGTTTGTTGGTTTAGATTCGCCCCAGTAACTAGTTCGTTATTTGCGTACCATGAACCATAGTTGATGATAGTTAATGGAGTTATGTTCACCAACTGAACGCTATCTTGGGGGCCTCACATTGTAGTGACTAGTCCATCTGTGGATCTTGGGGTTTCAGTTGTGTTGACCCATGGAGCAAGGAGTGACGATAGCCTTCAGAAACTGGTCCAGTACTGCGCTCAGCGTCAAACTGTGCCCCGGAATGGTCATGTTAAGGACAAATGTTGGTAAATATTTGGGATGGTATGATATATCATAATTCGATATACAGTTAACGGGGGTTGAACACCAACTTAGATTTAACATGGCTGCTACTCTCTGGTAATCAGCCATATGGCTAGAAAATCACCCCTTTCGTAAATGTTCAGTTCGTTGATTTTCGCGAACGAAATCTCCATGGCTAGTCTTACTGGTGCGTTTTACGTAGGGAATTTTCGGGAATGATCCATGTCATCACTAGATGTCACATTCGTAATGTCATCATCCCAGCAAACCCCAGCAACCCATCCAGCAACCCTGCGTTTTTAACGCACCAGTGGTAGTTTGAGGCTTTCCCAGCTACGTTTGGTGAAACCATTAGGGTCCCAGCCCCACTGCACCAGAAACTGTGGCGAATTAGATCCCTTAGACCGACCAGATCATGATCACCAACAATTACTTAGAATTATGTATATACGCTTGTATGTGTTTATGTTTTTTTTTCTAGCTTAAATGTCACAAACTAAAAGACAACATAGAAGACAAACTGCTTCAATACTATATGCTTGACTATTATATATATATATACGTATATATATATATATGTATAACAGTTATAACAGCCTATATATTACATAAATATGAATATGTGATAACATCTTAAGTCTTTAAGTAGTTCCCAAAAACACGTCGGGCTTCCTTCAAGGCTCATCATCATCGACGAGGTTCACCTGCTGAACGATGAACGTGGCGCGGTCATCGAAACCGTGGTGGCGCGGTCCCTGCGCTTCCAGGCGCAGCGCCGCTGAGCTGAGGTTGATTTGCCCTCTGGTAAACGTTTACACAACACAACTATGGAAAACCAGCATTTTTAGTGGGTAAATCAACTATTCCTATGGCCATTTTCCATAGCGAACTGTTAAGTTGCCAGAGGGTATAGGTTGAATCATAGTTGATAGTTGATAAATGATGGATCCATGGTGATAAACCCGTATTTTGTTTTGAACATTGATAGTTGATTTATATAGTTTTTTTGGTAATGTTGAACTAATCTGTTTAACAATTTTCATAGTGCATGACATATCGAGCTAGTTGTGGTAACTTAAGCAGACAAAATTGGGGGGGCTTCCTTTGGAGATGTCTCAATGAAACAAGATGAACCATGGAGGATTGCTAGCCCAATAGAGGTGGTAATAGATCATGATGGTTACCAATGGTTACATCCCAAAATCGTCCAACATTGTTTTGTTCATAATTTCAGAGTGTAGTAACATGTTGCATTGATGAAATTGCCAATCATCTAATAATATCAGTCCGACTGAACACATGCAATTTTATTCATGTTTATTCTATAATTGGCACTTTGAGTGCTATTTTTCTGGAAGTGTGTCTCCAGCAGCAAGCAACTAGCAACAGTAGGACAAAGGTGTTCCCCAGCCGGGCAATCAGGTCACCTACCCACTAGATGCCCTTTGTCAAGAGCTAGTCCCATGTAGTCCACAAGGAGTACGTAGCCGGCCTGGTAAACGTTCACAAAAAGCTATGGAAAATCATAAGTCTGTTTATGGGTAAATCATGGTAAATCAATTATTTTTATGGACCATCTTCCATAGAGAACTGTTAAATTACCAGAGGGTAAAAATTAGGAACTGCAACCGGACATTAGCTTCCAAAACATTCTCCCGAGTTCAAATGTCAGGAGACCAGTGGACAGCCGGTGCGTACGCAGACTGAGGGGGGTGGGCTGAGATAGCGGGGGTTCTTGCAGGCTCCAATTTTGGAGACTTGTCCTCTGGTGACATACTGTAGATATGGAATAACATGTTGTTAAGCTGTAAAATTGGGTAAATGATCCACAACATGTAACATGGGCGATTTTACATAGCCATATTAGATTGCCCGAGAGTACTTATGTGCCGGAGTACAGCCATGGATTAAGACGTATAAATACCATTTTTAGATATTTTTAGGGGTATGAACATCCGTTTACATCCATTTACCAGCTATTTTGATGTTCACCAGGGGTACAAGGTTTTGATTTTCATGAAAATTATGGGCTACTTGGTTAAACTAAATATCTTCGTTAATTTCCTGGATCAAAATCTCATGTTATTTTCCTGTGGCAAGTCCGGTACCCAGCTGGCAACCTGTCCAGTGCTCCGGTTTGAGGAATCGTGGCTCTTTCGGCAACGCTTCCGAACTACCAGGATTGCTGCTCAACCTTTTATGTGTCAATAGAATTGTCAATAGTATATACCCTGCTTCACTAGACAGAGTTGCAGCTGTAGGTTTCTGCCAAAGAAGTCGTTGAGCAAAAATCAGACTCAGCATGACTCAACTTTGGTAGAATATATGTCCACTGCTGTAGGTCTGACATGGTTTGACCATTAGAAACAACAGCAGTCGCCCAGGATGTCGCCGCCTTTTTGCGTGTCGAAGGGGAGCCAGGGCCCAAGTGCCCAAGGTGTCGTAGCTACTTTCCCGTTGGGGGATGGTCATTAATCCATTTCAATCCATTTTTTTCAGAGATTTCATATCTGTCATCGATCTAAAGGTCCTTGAAAAGGCTTTTAATTGCGTATTGTATATTATTTAAATATTATATCTATAATAGACATATATATATATACATATATATACGTGTATATAATTTATATATATAGCCGTTAGTCATGCCCATTAGCCGTTAGTCATGCCGTCATGTTGGATGACCAGACCCCATATACCCTGCCTTGACCATGGCACCTGTGAAGATCATGGGATTTGCATTCCATTGACACATTGAGTCCAAACAGAAGTGTATAATGATGGGTTAATGTTGGTTAATGATGGTTAATGATGGGATTAATAATGGGATTAATAATGGGATTATCTGCTTGGTGGTTTGGAGCATTTGGATTATTGTTCAATTGGGAATTTCATAGTCCCAACTGACGAAGTCATATTTTTAGAGGGGTAGGGCTCAACCACCAAGCAGTTTACTTTGCTATAGCTTGGATGTGTTGCTTTCTATGGGGGATCGCCAAATCCTTGGCTCGGGAAAAACCCTCCACGACTCCATTCTGCATGAATGAAATCCCAGTGTTTCATGGTGTTTCATGCCCCATATGTTTAATCATATTAGTCTTCGTCTTCATGTTTTATGATGTTTCCCATAGGATCCATGTATGGTATATATGCTAACATTGGGGGTATATTAATGGTAAATGTTACCATATACAGCATACATGGATCCTATGGGTTTTATGGTACCATAAATGATTCCATTTTCGGATTTTTATCCAGGCTATCCCCATGTTGGGACCCCGGATCCCCTAGGAATCTCTTCTACTTCGACTCCTCCTACCGGCCCATTCCGCTGGAGACGTCTTTCCTGGGAATCACCGAGTCGCTCAGAGCAGTGGAGTTGGAGCTGGATGAATCCCCCAAATCCATGACGGATCCATGGTGCTGGTAGAAAAATGCTAACATAAAGGGGGTATATATTTATGGGATCTATGGCACACCATATATAGCAGCACCATGGATCCGTCATGGGAAAACCATCAAAGAATCCCCCAAAAACTGTGGTTTACTCATGTGAAATCTATCGGGAGTTGACACGCATTTTGGACCATGAAAGGGGCTTTTAATGCTTTTAATATTAGGCGCATGGGAATTTACAAATCATCAGATTTCCAAATAGAAGTGCCATGTGTTTGGTGAATTTACCTTGGGATGGACAGGACACATTTGGAAACTGAAGATATAGCTCACTTTTGTTGTTGATCATGGACCAAGTTCAAACACAACCCGGAATGGCTTCAACGACTGTGCTTGTTTTGAATCTCCCCCACCTTTAAAAGAAAAAGTATGTCACAGCCACTGTTAACAGTTAAAACATGGTTAAACATGTTATTTATCAACTGACTCGATCGAACCACGGGGAAAAACACCGAGAACAAGTGCTTCTGATCATCCCAATCATCCTGAGATGTGAATTTTCACTCCACAGGCGAAACGGTGATACGCTGATTGTTCTGTGAGCAACTGGAATTCTCCACGTACCACGACTATCCACGACTTTCGCCAAAATGGGGCGGCTCCGAGGACCAACCGCGTGAAGCAGATGGCGAAGCTGAATGAGATTTGCTATGAGGCTGTGATTGAACAGGTCCGTAAAGGAGCGATGCGTGACCGGCCATCGTTGGGAATGGTTCACCATATGGATGGGTTAAGTGAAAGCCATCGGCGATCTCAGAAAAAGGCAGGCAATTCGAAGTTTACCCCCACTTCATCCCACTTCAACTATTCACTTCAGGAATTTCATTATTTTCATGGTGCACAAGGATGCACGAGGTAGAAGCTGAGGCCCCCTCAGTTGAAAGTTGGTCTGTAACCCCCATGAACTACTTCGTTATAGCATGTTATAGCCCCCATTAACCCTAATTATCCAAGTTATGTGCGTCAACTTAGCTATGAAACCTGGCGTACTGAATTAAATTCCCCGTTGAGTTCGTTGATGGTACCATAAACCTCCGGAAATCCATGATTTACTGGTTAAGTATAGGATATGTCCCACATCTTTCCCATATTTTTCCCATGCCACCGGCCCAACCTTGATGACGGGGACGATGCGGCAGGACATCAGGTCATGGTTTTTGTGCATTCCAGAGGTGATACCTTCAAAACGGTGCCTCTGGCAGTTTGTGAAAGATGGCTGGTGGTTGATCCTTTGCTGATTCTTAAGTTGATATGGGAATGGGATACTCTTGGGAAACTTATGCATGTGTTTTTGTTTTGATGTTTCACAGGGTCAATGACACATGAAACTGTCGTAACAACGATACGCCAGACCTTTGAAATCCTTTGAACCTGGGGGGCATGGTGGCCACGTATGATGCCATTTCTGGGGTTCACACAAGCAATGTCATACCCCAAAATACCCTCTGGTAATTTAACATAGCTATTGAAAATGGCCATTTATAGTGAGTCTTCCCATTAAAAATTGTGATTTTCCATAGCTATGTTAGTTTACCAGAGGGTAATCCCAGCAAGGCGTGGTTTCGAAAAGTAGGAAAACCAAGGGGAAAAGTCACTGGTTCGGGGGTCCAGGCTGATACTTTGGCACAAATGGCCATCGACCAGAACCACACGGGGCATTTTGACATGTGCCGGGCTCTTGGACTGATCAACGGTTGGGTTTTCCAGGGATTTTAGCGTGGTTGATCTTTGTTTACTTCAAATATCAAGGTTGTTGCAGATCCCTTCACCCAATTCTCGGATCAGAGTGTGCCCCTTTTTTCATACACTACTGGGTCCCCGCTTGTAGGGCTGGGGCATAAGCCCAGGTACGCACATGCAGTACGGCTACTTCCAGCAGCAGGACGGTCGATATTTAGCTCGACCACAAGTACCTCTCAAACTTTGTATGTTTACATGATTTTACCACACACATAATTGAAGCACAAAAATTAGAGGTACTTAGCATTTGTTTTGGGTACTTGGAGGGTCAAACGGTATTCATCTAATCTGTTCATTCTACGAAACAACATACAGGTTTAGCGTTGGATCTCGTCATTTTGGGGTTTCTAATATTTAAGAGGAAAGGGGGTGATTGACATAGATGGTTTCGGCGATGGCGATGGTCAAACTTGGGGACTTCGCAGATTTGAACTCTGACGCTTGGGTGAGTTGTTACAAATTGCGAACTGGATACTCACAATTTATTAGGTAACTCATCTACAAATGGGCCATCTATACCATATATGTAACAAATTACCCAGAGGCAAACAAACAAAAGACAAAGTCCCATTCTCCATGGGTCGGGTCTGAAATCTTAAGTACACCCTGCCATGCCCTGCGATGATCGAAACGGGTGCCAGGTCCAGAAATCGAGAAACAAACAAGTACAGATGATCTTCGACAAAGGATTCGGAATACATCACGCTGGGTCCTCAAAATATGGTCAGACTGACAAGTTCAACGGAACATTCAGTGTCTTTGACCTCATGTCTATTAGTGAGTGAGTTAATTAGTTTGTTAGTTTGTTAGTTTGTTAGTTTGTTGTGTTGTGTTTTTTTTTTGGTTCGATCTTTGTGCCTCTTCCAGTGAGATGGACAGCAACAGCCCCAGCAAGGCGGGCATGTTGCGTTCCGACCGCACGCTGACGGAGAAGATGTTCCTCGCCGGGGTGGTCCCTGTGTTGTGCTGCACGGCCCGGAGACCGAGCGTGTGCGGAGCGGCGGCGGAGAGCCGGAGAGCGTGGGGTGTCTTAAAGGATGGCTGATGCCGGTTGTACGTGGTGATACTTTGTTCTCCTAACCTCATATAATGTCATATAATGTCATATAATTATAGAATTGTTACACTATATTCTATGAGTAAAGACTTAGATTATGTTGGAGATCTTCATAGATGTTCATAATTCATGGGATGATGGCATGACAGAGAGTTTCGAACATGGCGAGCCTATGGAAAGGACGGCCAGACTTGATTTGATTGATTGGTCCATTTGGTTCCTTGATTCTGATCCAATGCATCTGAATCATAGAAAAAACATATGGGGTTGAGTACACGTCGTGGGCCATTGACATGTTAATATGTTACATGTTGTTCACTCTGTTCACTCTGTTCACTCTGTTCACTCTGTTCACTCTGTTCACTCTGTTCACTCTGTTCACTCTGTTCACTCTGTTCACTCTGTTCACTCTGTTCACTTTCCTGAGAAGCGTTTGCTTCTCATTCACTTCATGACATCAAGTCTCTCTGCCTCAGATACCATTTGGTAATTCAACATATAGTTATCGAACATGGATGAGCATTGCCAATTTAGTTAGATGATTTTCCTATTATGGTGATGTTCTATGTCACATACATTTAGTTGTAGGATTTAGCCATCGATGTTGCCCATTAAAGATGGTTACCCTCTGGTAAACGTTTGCATAACTATGGACAATCACCATTTTTAATGGGTAAATCCACTATACATGGGTCATTTTCCATAGCTATGTCAAATTACCAGAGGTTAGTTTCCAGTTCACTATGTCAACATTAGCAGAGGGTATGTCCTATTGGTCATGGCAGCTCTGCTAGGCGACCTTAGCATGGGGTGTCAACTTGCCAGCAAGGCTGCCGTGGCGGGGCATAGCAAAGAAATCTGGATGAAATTGAACATGTCACCATTAAATCACCATGAAATCCCATGGAAAATCACCATTAAATCACCATTGAATCACCAGTAAATTCCATTAAAATCCCATGGAAAATCCCATGTCTTGAATGAATTGAGTCAAATCATGTCAATTCATATTCTCGTGAGCCATGTGCCATTGAAGTATGATATTTTGTTGAAATGTGCAACATATGTGCTTCATCATTCCTCCACAATAAACTATACAAAGCAGCACGCATTGTTGAGGTAGATTTGAATAACACACGGATTTGGAATTCAAACATGTTGAAATTTGAGGAAAATGCATATTTACCTCAGCCTGTGTAAGAAAATTGTTGGTTCAAACTCTTTTGGGAAAATCTTGTAATGTAGCGTTCACATGGTGTTTTCTCTTTTTCCGGGTGACTTTCCACTAACATAGCGTGCCCATGCGGGGGGATGACTTCCTGCGACCCCGGGTGTGACGTGACTAAACCCCAGCACTTATACATGATGTGTGGACATAGGTTGCAACTTGCAGATGACTACTTGCTAAGCTTGTCAGTTTGTCACAGTGTCTATTCCTATCTTGCTTCAATATGAATATTACAAACATGGTTGCCGTACAGTTGACAGTGAGGCTTTATGTGCAGTGCAAGAGCTCGATTCACTAGGTCTTCTCTGAACGAGTTGACAGTTGACACTTGACATTCTGATATCTAGTCTAGTCATGGGGCATGCGTGCAATGATCAGTTGCAACAAGAAACATCAGATACATTGTATTTTGGACAAGTCCAGCAACAGAATGCACCTCACAAGTCCGCTAACCGCAAGCCAGAGATTCCGGGCATGACCCGGCCCAGGAGCGTGATCATCAAGGGTACCTCGATTTTTGACTCTCAAGCCGGCGGCTATAAGGCTCTGATGAGATTGAGATGAAATTCATCATTTATGGATTGGTTCTACCGGTAGTTCTACCAGGTTCTTTCTTACCACATAAAATACCAGCTGTTCTATACCATGATTTTACAAAACACATATCCCAGATCTTTAGCAGTCTATAGGCCACTTAGTCACTTGAATGTTTGGGAACCCCTTCATATACCAGTCATTATATACCAGTTAGTCACTTTTATATCAAAACCCATCATCTTAGTTCTATCCCACTTAGTCACTATATACCAGTCATTGCGACTGCCCCAATTGTTGAAGGACTTGGGCATCCTGGATGTGCAGCAGATCTTCGGTCGTGCTGGGCGACCTGGCTTTGACACCCAAGGCGTCTTGGCTGCGAAGACCGGATCTATGGTAACGTTTACGGGAGGCGAATGCTATATCATTACCCTTATATACCCTTATATTAATACAAAATTAATATCCCTTAATGGTTGTTTTTCACATAGCCATGAAATGTAAAGCTAGATTCAATAGGTAAGTTTCATTCAGTTTCATGGGGAATTGGTTAAATTACCAGAGGGTATAAGGGGATATTGATTCGATATAGAGACAAAACTACCGAGGGTCTAAAGATGGAGTATACGTATACCTCCCAAATTGCTATTTTAATGGGGTAAACATGGGTATACGGTATACCCTCCGGAAAATTGAAATGGGTAAGAGTATCATTATCCAAACAAACCCAATATGAGGCTTCTTAGTGGCTGCTGGGCTGTTGGGAGCAACCAGCTGAATTGCCCCCGCAGCTACTTTGACCCTACACAATTGGTCAGTGGAAACTAAGAAATCTTTGGGGACCCCCCAACAAAGATAGAAATTTATTCCCACCCCAATAGTGGGAAATCAATGGACATGACTGTTTCATTTTTTGGTATGGTAATAAACGGATTGATTTCTGGCGCCGGGGCGAAATTCACATCGTGAAACCAGGCAGCTCCCAATCAACTCGATCAGCGCAAGGGGGTGCGGAAGCAATTAGTTGAAAGAAATTTGACCCAACGGTTTTTTCATGTGGGGATTTCCAGAAATGGGGGTACCCCCAAAATGGATGGTTTATAATGGAAAACACTCTATTAAAATGGATGATTTGGGGGTACCCCCATTTATGGAAAACCCCATGTGCCGCTTGATTCCAGTATACAACCAAACTCTTGATTTGCAGGAACGTTTGTGTGGGTCACTTCAGAACTACGACGCTTTTGACGATGTGAAATTGACGGATTCGAGTATGTCCAAAAGTACATGAAATACACATGAATCTCAGAAAATCATCAATAATCCACCTAAACACCCTGGAAGGAGTTTTAGTTTGGGATATTCCAACACATGCATCTGACAATAATCCTTTCTTTTCCTTTCCAGATGCTGCAAGAGGTTCTTGCTTGGTTCATGCAACCAACGAGCAACTCTACAATTACAATACTCTCTGGTAATTTAACATAGCTATGGAAAATGGATTGAAAATGGCCCATTTATAGTGGATTTATCCATGAATAGCATGGTGATTGTCCAGTTCGTTATGTGACAGTTTACCAGGCCGGGTCATCCACCGTCTGAGGTCACGCGACCCTGTCCGCCTTGGCATGTTGCAGTGATCATCCCTTGTCTGGTTGGTGGTTAATGATGAGTATACCACCAACTAGTACTAGTATATATTTGTTGTAGCATATGATTAATAATTGTTAAAGGTTGATAATGGTTAATAAAGGTTGATAATGGTTAATAAAGGTTGATAATGGTTAATCATGGGATTACTGGTTGGTGGTGACTGGAACCATGGAATACCATGGAATTTTCAATGACTTTCCCATGAACAGTTGGGAATTTCATCATCCCAACTGACGAACTCACTCCATCATTTTTCAGAGGGGTAGGGGGCTCAACCACCAACCAGTTGTGTTTTTCTGATGTTTAACCATCCCCCAGTGGACGTTTTTTGGCCATAGGCTTCGCCAGCTTCAAAGTCGTGTTTTCTTGGAATGACTCGTGAGTTGACTCGTGAGTCTCTAGATCTTGTTGGGGGATACCCTCTGGTAAATTAACATAGCCATTGAAAATGACCCAGTCGAAATAGTGTTCATTTACCCATAAACAATGGTGATTTTCCATATTTTTTTGTTAACGTTTACCAGAGGGTAAGCTAACCATGAAACCAGGCAATTTTTGGTCAGCTTCCACGGGGATCTTGTTGGTCAGACATGCGCACCACGACCATCCTACGACGAGCGTCCCCAGAATCCAAGGGATTTTTAAGGCACGATCGATGTCTTTACGAAATCCCCAGATAGGGCCCATGGTATTTTAAAACAATAAATCAATAAGAAGGTTTTAAAGGCACAATAAGAAGCGGCACGCTTTAGGAATTACGATTTATCAACAAATTGTCAGGAACAGACATTTTGGCAAACCGTCATACTCTCATACCTTTTGACGAAAAGACAAAAAAGAATGCCTTTGGGGAGGCAGTCGAAAAACATGCGCTGCTGAATTTCTTTTGATCGTCGCCGGAGAGTTGTCAGGGCTTGTTGGGCCTTGTTTCGTAGGTTTATGTTAAGCTAGATTTGGAGAATTGCATTTTCCCCGGCATTCCACATGTTGCTATCTAGAGGATCTATGTTAATGCATCTTTTCAGTATGTTCCTAGTTTTGGATGCTCGCAACCTCCTAGAAGGAACACTAACATATACTCCAGGCCTGGCCCAAGGTGATTCGCAATTTTGTTGATATTGGCCCACAGGGTGTTCGTCAAAAGTCAAAAGTGCAACTACATGATCGCCGTTGATTGTTGCTATTTTGTAGGTGGCTCAAAAAGCGATGCTTCATGATATTCGCTTTATAACAACATGGCCATTTTGGTATGACCCGGTTTTGAACAACTCCCTAACAACTCCCTATTTTTTTCTTGCTGGTAGCGTTTGCTTTTTTGGATTCTTGACCAGCCAGGATCACTGAACACGCCAAGCTGAACAACTATTTGCGGCTGCTCTTGTTCGGCTGCTCAGTGTGGAAAGGATGCTGTAGCGCTTGGAGGGTTCACCCCCATCCTTCTGATCCTGGTGATATCGGCGCTTCGATGGCTTTGTTTAATGTGTGTCCGAAAATGTAGTATTGAAGAGTATAGCCCTATAATGAATCAAAATGATCCAACGTGATATCCCAAATAGATCCAAATAGTAGGAGACATTACGACAAACATCGACAAACCACTGGATGGTATGTCTGAAACTAGAGGATGCATGTTTAACAAACACTCCGTCCATTGCAGAAGCGATGATACACTACTGGATCTTTGGGGCATTCTATTTTGAATTTAACTAAACCAATAATGATCATAATGTCCATAATATATCATCATACATAAATACATACCCTCTGGCTATTTAACATAGCCATGGGAAATAGCCCATTTATAGAGGTTTACCTATTAAAAATTGTGATTTTCCATGGCTATGTTAAATAACCAGATGGTAGATGTTCTTTTCACACTAGTTGGTTGATCAAGAGAGCAACCTTTGCTGGTAGATGATGAAAAACATAGTATACAATAGTATACCAGACAGAGTCCTTGCAGCATTTTTCCTAAAACCCATATGCTACACCATATATAGGTGAATTGTGTTCATAGATCTTAATAGTATACCAAAACACATATGGTAAATTATACTTGTAATAAATAACAACAATTCAACATAGATGAAAATTAGTAGATATTTAGAAGTTAGATGATAATTATTAATAATAATAGATCTACGTAAATAAGAAAAAATCAATCAATCAATTAATAAATACAATATCAATAAACAAACAAACAAACAAGCAAACAATCAGACAAATAAATATATATATATATGATATTAATATGTTATTATACATATATATATATATATATATATTCATGTATAACTTTGAAGCCAGACGAGTCCATGATACGCCACGGAAAGTCGCCTTTTCCTGGCCTTTTAGGCCGGTAAAGCCGGGTCGCTGAGGCATCAGATGCCCATCGAGTCGCGATTCTTGGAGAATATGGCCAATGCATTGAATGCTGAGATCGCCCGGAAACCCAATGGCAGGTTGGGATCAAGAAGACCTCGACAAAAACTTGAGAAAAAAAACATCATTAAAAAGAGTAAATTCCTTCTAAAATAGTTTTTTTAATATTGGAAGTCAATACTCTTCTTAATCATTAAGAAATATAATTCATGATAATGAATCTGTCTAAATTCCCATCTAAAATAGTGATGAATTATATTTTTCTGATTTTTTTGGGGAGTTACTGTAGCCCGGCAAACAATTGGGACGCTGACGAATATCGCTAAACATAAAGGTTGGTGATTTTCGATGAACTTTCCAACGTGGCCATGACTCTTGGTATCTCTTGGTGGTGGAAGATAGGTACTGTGACTTCATGGCATCCCACACGAAAAAGGTTGGTGGTTAATTATTTTTGTCCTTGGAAACAAACACAGGAGCGGCGGAAACTCACTGTGTTTTTCACATGTGCAACTGATTCGTCACTACGAGTTACACATTCGGTTTATAATGATGAAGAATGGTTTCTGTATCTGTAGATGCGAACTGCGAGCCGTGCACGCCGTTTGAGAGCCATGGTGATCCAAGCCGACGTTCGTTGGGGTATACAATGTCCATTAATAACACTTACCTTCATGCATCGTCAATCATGTTATGTTTGTCATGCTATTATAATTTCATTGGTAATTTTGATATAATTACTATGTTTGTCATCCATCGTCATATTGTCATACCATGTCATACTTATAACTGTTGTTTGTTGAACTAATTATCTATGAATCTATGATGGTCTCTACAATGAAATAGTGCATTATATAATCTTACTGTGGTTCATTGACATAGGTATGACTACTGTCTCTATTTGGGGTGGAATCCCTACCACAATTCATTTTGGGGTGATTCAAGACCCACACATGAGATTACTGCCCCAAAAATCACCAAAAACTGTAGGGACAGTATTGGAAAAATACGACGATCAACTGTGGGGTGCTGGGATAGCTTATTTCCAGACATGCCGCCCGCAGTAAATTCTTGGACGTATGATTTATGGTGGTGTTACTTTCACTGAATGCCCCCATGTTGCGTAAATCTCTATATATCCATGAGTCATTGGTTCCATCGCACTCAAATATCAATATCTGAGAGAGTCCAGATCCATGTTTGATGCTCAAATTTCAATATCCATGAGTTGTTGAAATCTCTCATAGAAATATGTATAACATTACCCATGACGGATCCATGGTGCTGCTATATATGGTAACATGGATCCCATTAATATACCCCCTTTATGTTAGCATATATACCAGCACCATGGATCCTATGGGGTATGTAACATTATGTCACCGATGTTGGTTACATCTTTCTTCGTGGCTAAAAAATCCCGGTGGTCGTTTGGTGTCTAAATCTTTCTTCGAGGCCATGGGCAACGTCTCTGGAGAGAAGGATGCGGCGGATTGGTTGCGCTGGAAGCCCAAAATCGTAAGCGGTTTAGCCCGACGGGCCCTACAGCTCCAAGCACCTGAGATATTTGGAGGTTCAAACAGTTTCGAAGGTATTTGGAGCACTAGGGTTTTTTTTATATTTCCCCACCTGCCAGGTGAGGGTTGTTAGATTTTATCTAAGTTGCCTTCTCCTCCTCCTCCTCTCCTCCTCCTCTCCTCCTCCTCTCGTCGTCCTCCTCCTCTCGTTGTCCTCCTCCTCTCGTTGTCCTCCTCGTCTCGTTGTCCTCCTCGTCCTCCTGCTCAACTGCGACTCGCGATCCACAGTGTTCGCTGCCGGACCTCAACCACGACCATCCACGCCCAGTGTTCCCTGCCGGACCTCAACCACGACCATCCACGCCCAGTGTTCCCTGCCGGACCTCAACCACGGCCATCCACGCCCAGTGGTCCCTGCCGGACCTCAACCACGACCATCCACGCCCAGTGTTCCCTGCCGGACCTCAACCACGACCATCCACGCCCAGTGTTCCCTGCCGGACCTCAACCGCGAGTATCCACGCCAAGTGTTCCCTGCCGGACCTCATGTAGGAAGATATGGGACAAAGAATGTGCAGAAGAAAGTTACAAAGATAGAATGCCAGAAGATTTGCCGGATAGAATGCCAGAAGATAGAATGCCAAATAGAATGTCAGATAGAATGCCAGATAGAATGCCAGATAGAATGCCCAGAAGATATGCCAGATAGAATGCCAGATAGAATGCCAGAAGATGCCAGATAGAATGCCAGAAAATATGCCAGAAGATATGCCAGATAGATATGCCAGAAGATATGCCAGAAGAATAGAATGCCAGAAGATATGCAGAATATGTCAGATAGAATGCCAGAAGATATGTCAGAATATATGCCAGAAGATATGCCAGATAGAATGCCAGATTGAATGCCAGAAGATATGTCAGATAGAGTGCCAGAAGATATGCCAGATAGAATGCCAGAAGATTTGCCAGATAGAATGCCAGAAGATATGCCAGAAGATATGCCAGGTCATATGCCAGAAGATATGCCAGATAGAATGCCAAATAGAATGTCAGAAGATATATCAGATAGAATGCCAGAAGATTTGCCAGTAAGAAAATGTATAAATGTCATGGTGGGGATCACACGAAGTAAAGTAATTTTTTTGTCTTCCTTTTTCAAGGCCCTTGAGATCCATTGAGGGTATATATCAAGGTAAAGATGGTAAAGCCGAATCCTTCTTTTTGATCAAATCCGTATGTTCTACTGATGAATTCCCATGTTTGTTGCTTCAGCGCCCTGGAACCCGCGTGGACCCAGGCTATTCGTACCTCTTCGTCCGCTTCTTCCGCACTCCCCAAAAGTTTGGCATTACCCAGCAGGAGGGGAGAAAAATCGGCAGGGGCATTGGAAACATCATCTGAAAACGTTGGCGAAACAACAGTTTTACTCGTTTTATTCAGCACAAAATGTGAGGTTTGTAGAGAATGGTGGTTAAATGAAGTTAAACATTATTTTTCTGCCTCCACACAATTGTTTAAAGATGTTTAAAGTTGTGATGTTTGTGCTTATAGCATAAATATCAGAACGAATTGCGTTCTGGTCGTGGGAAGAAGTGGATTTGGGTCTATTGGAACCCTGGCATTTGGCATCCGCCCCATTTTTGGTTTGAATGGTTTCTCCACCACATTGTCTGGATTCTAGATTATGATTGGTGCAAATCTGTCGAAGAAATTGAGTGAGGTTGACAAGTCCTGCAAATTCTTCCCTTATGACAGATTCCGCCAGAGTCATATTTTGGGGCCACATGGTACAGGGTGGTACCCCCCAGTTATGTTAGTTGGGAATCTCCATCAACTACTAAATATAACCCCCATAGATCCTAGTGATTTTAGCTATATAAATTAAATGATTAGCTGACTAATGGGGCACCACCCTTTAGTCAAAATTTTGGCGGAAGGACAACACAAAAAAAACACAGTGCAGGACTTTGAGACCGATCCGACCCTAGAGAAGAAGCGTCGGGAGTTTGTTCATGAGGCTGGGCTCCTTTCTCCCCAAAATCTGTGTGGGTTTCCCCTTGAATCATCCATGGATGAGCATGACGACTAGTATTGAAGCAACCATGGTGACGACTGGGGATCCCCCATGATTTAAGGAAACCTCCAAATGCCAAAAGACTCATAGAGACTACGCAGCTACGACGGTACTTCAGCATGATGTTGAGGCGGCTACGAAGCTCTGCAACGCTAGACTCATCCGCATCGACAACAATCGCTGGAGCACTCAGAGGTTCTGCTAACATTTTGATCGAAACCAATAGTTGTGGGTTTGCTTATGAGTAGTTCATGGATAATTCGATGTATGCATACCATGTATATCTGTATATGTGTAAATTGTGTTTTATATATGTACATAGTAATATATATAATTATATATATATATGATGCAGCCTCCCAGGTCCCCCCCCCTCCCCCCCCAATGGGTATGGGTATACAGGAGCTATGTTCCCCGCCCCCCCCTGTGGGTGGGTGGGGGGGGTTAGTAGTAGTAGTAGTAGTAGTAGTAGTAGTAGTAGTAGTAGTAGTAGTAGTAGTAGTAGTAGTAGTAGTAGTAGTCGTAGTAGTAGTCGTAGTCGTAGTCGTAGTAGTAGTAGTAGCAGTAGTAGTAGTAGCAGTAGTAGTAGTAGTAGCAGTAGTAGTAGTTGTTAGTCCTAGTGAGTAGTGAGTAGTAGTGAGTAGTAGTGAGTAGTAGTGAGTAGTAGTTAGTAGTAGTTAGTAGTAGTTAGTAGTAGGAATGGGTATAGATATACACGAGCTATGTTCCCCGCCCCCCCCCTGTGGGTGGGTAGGGGGTGGGGGGGTTAGTAGTAGTTAGTAGTATGTAGTAGTGAGTCGTAGTTAGTAGTAGGAATGGGTATGGATATACAGGAGCTATGTTCCCCGCCCCCCTGTGGGTGGGTAGGGGGGTGGGGGGGTTAGTAGTAGTATGTAGTAGTGAGTAGTAGTTAGTAGTAGGAATGGGTATGGATATACAGGAGGTATGTTCCCCGCCCCCCCCTGTGGTGTGGTGGGGGTGTGGTACTGCGTATGCATATATGTATATATATATTTATGTATGTATGTATGTACGTATGTATGTATGTAATGTATGTATGTATGTATGTATGTATGTATGTATGTAATGTATGTATGTAATATAATGTAATGTAATGTGATGTGATGTGATGTAATGTAATGTAATGTAATGTATGTATGAAATGAAATGAAATGTAATGTAATGTAATGTGATGTAATGTAATGTGATGTAATGTAATGTTATGGTATGGTATGTATGTATGTATGTATGTTTGTATGTCTGTCTGTCTGTCTGTATGTATGTATGTATGTATGGTATGTATGTAATGTAATGTATTGTAATGTAATTTAATGTAATTTAATGTAATGTAATGTAATGTATGTATGTAATTAATTAATGTATGTATGTATGTATGTATGTATGAATGTATGAATGTATGTATGTATGTATGTAATGCATGCATGCATGTATGTATGTATGTATGAATGTATGTATGTATGTATGTAATGCATGCATGGATGTATGTATGTATGTATGTATGCATGCATGCATGCATGCATGTATGTATGTATGTATGTATGTATGTATGTATGTACGTATGTATGTATGTATGTATGTATGTATGTATGTATGATGTATGTAGACATGTATGTGTACATATATATATATATATGTGAATATGTGTATATTTCTGTATATGTTTATATATATATATACACATATTTACGTATGTATCTATAACATGTATATATATATATATGTATATATAGGAAGTAGCTACATAGCACATGTATATATGACTATAGGTAGCACGTAGGTACTTTGAGGGAGTATGTGTGCTATGTAGGTCGTCTAAAGGGTAGCATGTACCTAGTAAATGGGAGGCTGGTAGTCAGAATCGCTGCAAAAAGCGAGCAAATACGAGGCTGGACCTCAGAAATGCTGCCAATAGCTTGCAAATAGAAGGGAAGGGGGGGGTGCTACCTGGAGACCCATCCCATTCTTTCGGGGGGGGGGGGACCTCGTGGGCGGAAGACGGGATCATATATATATATACATAAAAAATAGGATTTGTTTCCCAATGTCTCGTTTTATAAACGGGTGTGTAGAAAGAAAGCACTGACTTTTCAGTCCCGGTGGAGCAAGGAGATGTCAACATTTTTTGGGGGCTTGCTGGATGTTCACGATCTAAGTGTTGGAGATTGATGCTTTGTCTGATGATGTAAATGATGTTATCATTACTATTGATTAGATATAATTAGATAATATGACCACAAAATCAACAATAACATGATATAATGATGGTTTAATAATAATCATATCATAATCTAATATGTGTCATCAATTGTTTTTATTCGTATCAGATACTAGGACAATAATTCAAAAGAAAAAATGCCACTTGGTGCATGATCTGCAGGACCAGAATTATGGTTGATTCACCGCCGAGTTGGTTCTGGGCTCTTTCTGGAATGATGCCATTTCTAGATTGTTTCATAATGACTAGTATAATATAATGACTATATATATATATATACATAGTAGTTGGTTGGTTTGGAACATTTTTCTATATATTGGGAACAGTAATCCCAACTGACTTTCATTTTTTTCAGAGGGGTAGGTCAACCACCAACCAGGTAGAAGTGAATTTGACATATAAAATCGAATTAAAGATCGAATTAAAATTGAATTTGACATATAAAATTGAATTTGTGACACTATCACCAAGCTGGAGAATCGAATTAAATATTAAAGATCGTCCAGTGACTGAGGCAACTACAATCCCACAGATCTGGGTCGTGTCGCTGCCCGTTTCTATGCCTGGTGCCCCAGGAGTTCACCATGAGCCATGCTGTGAGGAACATGGCTCATTAAGTGGTGATTATATGTACCTAGTTTACCTGTTTAATTCAGTTATATTTACCTGAGTTACATTGATTTACCTTTAATAAAATTTTAGATTTTCCAGTTAACCCTTTAGTTATCAGAGGCTATATGTTTTGTTTGTTCATATCGACGCGTGCAGCGGCTGGGCCACAGAGTTTGGAGGCAAAGGCACCATGAGAAATTCTTGTTTTTTTTTGAAGTTAAGAAATGGTTGGTCTCCCCATGCGTAGTCCCCAATACTATGGGAATATCATGCAATGAACAAAGGGGAAAGCAGCCAATGGAGTCATGAGGCTTCGGGATAATTCCCAATATCATGATGACATGAATATAACCAATTTATTGGACTAGCAATATCAATCCCCGTAGTTTTCCATGATATTCCCATTAGTATTCTTATCACATGTCCATAATCCCTACCCTTTGGTAATTTAACATGGCTATGGACAATGGCAATCTTATAGTTGATTTACCAATTAAAGTTGTGATGTTCAATAGTTATGCGGCAGTTTACCAGAGGGTTTCAGTTTGCACTTGGGTAAATCAACTACCAGTAGTACCGCACAAGGCGGTGGCGGAAGTTTCAAAAATAGGAAACCTATAGGAGAAGTTGGTTGTTGTGAATCAGGGATGGCAGAGCGAAGCCACTGATGGACCGAAAGGTGGTTGGAGTTGTGTTTGCTGGAATGGCTGCAATGGTTGCAGTGGTCACCTCACCCACAACTGCTGGATGTAGTGTGATGTACTGCAACTGTAGTTGTAGTTGTAGCGTAGTGGAGTTGTAGTTGTGGTGTAATGTAATTAGTGTAGTGTAGTTGCAGTCATATAGTTGTAGCTGTAGTTGTTTTTAGTTGTAGTGGAGTTTGTTGTAAGTTGTAGTTGTTGTGTTGTTGTATTTGTTGTTGTAGTGTCTTTGTCATATGTATTAGTCGGTATTAGTAGTAGTAGCATGCGTAGTATTGTCGTAGTATAGTCAGTATTGTTGTGTCGTTGGTTGTCGTTGTCGTTGCAAGGTTGTTTGTTGTTGTTTGTTGTTGTTTGTTGTTGTTTGTTGTTGTTTGTTGTTGTTTGTTGCTGTTTGTTGTTGTTTGTTGTTGTTTGTTGTTGTTTGTTGTTGTTTGTTGTTGTTTGTTGCTGTTTGTTGTTGTTTGTTGCTGTTTGTTGTTGTTTGTTGTAGCGGTTTTATTTGTAGTTCTAGTGTGTAGTTGTTAGTTTTGTTTAGTTTTTTGTACGTTGTCTTTGTAGTTGTAGTTGTTGTGTTGTTGTGTTGGTTGTCGTTGTAGTCGTAATTAGTAGTAGTAGTTGTTGTTGTTGTTGTTTGTTTGTTGTGGGTTGTTTGTTGTTGTTTTTTTTGCTTGGCTGCCTGTTGCTGTTGGTCGTTCGAAGTTAGGGTATTTTAAGTTGTGTAAGTTAGTTAAGTTAATCAGTGTCTACTTTTTCGACATCTTCACGTCAAAAAAGGCTCAAAAACCCTCAGTTTTTTACACTTTTGACTTCGAAATGTGCTTCGCGCCACAACGGCGTGCACTTTTTCGACACTTTTTCCACATCGGAACCTCCAAACGTGGTCCGAGACCGTCATTTTTTTACACTTTTGACTTGGAAATGTGCTTCGCGCCACAACGGCGTGCACTTTTTCGACATCGCAACTTCCAAAAAGTGGATCCGATAACCAGTCAGTTTTTGTACCACTTTTGAACTTCAAAAATGTGCTTCACGGTTCCCACAAACGGCGTGCACTTTTCGACATCTCCCTTCCCAAACGTGGTCCGAGACCGTCATTTTTTTACACTTTTGACTTGGAAATGTGCTTCGCGCCACAACGGCGTGCACTTTTTCGACATCGCAACTTCCAAAAGTCGTCCGACACTGAGGTGTTTTCTACATTTTCACTTCGAAATGTGCTTCGCGCCACAACGGCGTGCACTTTTTTCGACATCGCAACCTCCAAAACTGGTCCGAACCCCTGGTGTTTTGTACATTTTGACTTCGAAATGTGCTTCGCGCCACAACGGCGTGCACTTTTGCATTGTCCATCTTGGCCCAGCTGGCTCCTCACGCCGCCGCTTTAAAGCGAGCCTCGCTTTTCGACCCTGGGCCGACCACAAATCATTGGGAATAGCACCGGGGTGCGAGTGAAATCGCGCCTTTCTCCTACGACCTCTCCTCTAGCCTGGGGTGGGGTTCCGTAGGGTGCCGACTGGTCCCTTTGGATGTGTCCTCAGTGTCCTCCGTGGTCCTAGAGGGCCTATCTGGGGACTTGAGCTTCCTGGGGGATTCTTTTCTCGCATCTACCTCTTCCTTTTCTTCTTAGTGCTTTTCTCTTCTGACTCTTCTCACCTCTGCTTTTCAACTGTCCATATTGTCGGAAGTTTCACTTCTAAACTTCCTTCGATAAATATGCTTATTTTCATGGCTATTTTCCATTGCTATATATTTTCCATTGATGTTATGGCCCTATATTCCCCACATGTTTTCTTCAGGTGGATTGGGAGACTGCGGAATCCTTCTCCAAGGGCTTGGTGCAAGAGATGAGCGATGACAGGCGCGGAGCTGAGATCCAACGGTACAGCAATGGGCATATTATAATTTAGATATACAGTTCTATACAGTTATATATATATAAATATAATCATGTTTTCCTGCTATATGGCTATATATGCTATATATTATTTGGTTGGTGGTTTCATGACTTTTATTGTTCTTTTTCTATATGGGATGTCTAATCCTTCCCATGGACGAATTCATATTTTTCAAGATGGTTATTGCACCCCCCAGCAGTATGTGTATAATATATATATATATATACATATATATTATACCCTCTGGTAAACTAACATAACTATGGAATATCACAATTTTCAATGGGAAAATCCACTATAAATGGTCGTTTTCAATAGCTGTGTTAGTTTACCAGAGGGTAATTGTGATATAATGGAGATATCATGGGGAATGATTCGGAATGATTGAAGGTTTAAGCCGAATCCAAAGGTGTGAGGAATATGATATCTATCCAGAAAGCCATGATGAAGATATTGATTGGAAGATGGTTCTCAATTCGAAAACACCTGCTATAGTGATATACATCACCAGCATCGCAAAGGTTTTTGCAATTTTATTCAATACTAGCCATGATGTGCAGTTTCAAAGCCCCAGTTGGTTGATTATTATATGTTTTCTACGTTACACTGGGGATCGTTTTCGTCCACTAAAGCAATCCCCATGAACCAACCGTTGCTTTGTATCTATCATTTTTTTTGGTGTGGGGCGCGGCATGAACCGGAAAAAAACCAACACGATTTGGATGATTCCCATATGATACGACATGGGTCACCACTCCATTCCTCCCACGTCCAAGATGACTTATAATATCTTATAATGTCAATATACGTATCCGTATATACATATTATAATCATATATACCCTCTGGTATTTTAACATAGATGTTGAACATTGCCATGTGTGTTTAAATTACCAATTAGCATTGTTATTGTCCATAGCTATGTTAATCAACCAGAGGGTATATGTATATATATATACACATATATTTTTACATACATATTATAATCAAAGGGTCAGCTGTCAGCACTGAGGATTTTGGCCCTCTTTGGAAAGGCCCATGAGTTCTCGCAGCTCAAGGCGTGGCTGGGATGGATGTTAGCAAATCCTTCAAATTCTGATATAGTTTTATTTGGAGCCATCCCCAAAAATTGGTCAACAAAAACACTTGACGATCATTGATGAATCTCAAAGCCGATTTGTTTCTGTTTCGTGATGGTTTTCCAGTATATAAAGTTTTTAATGAACTGGTTGGTCTGTTGCCCTTGGAGCTTAAAGATTGTCCTGATCTCCCTCCTGTTTCACTGGCTTTTGACTCATGTCATGTCCATCTCTCTGCTGTGATGCGGTGAAGCCCAACTGCAGCCAGCATTTCATGCATACTCCAGAGTACTCTCTGGTAAACTAACATAACTATGGAAAATCACCATTTTCAATGGGAAAATCCAAAGTGGTCATTTTCAATAGCTATGTTAAATTACCAGAGGGTATGGACCATCCATGACAATCCACCATCTATAGATCATGTACCTTGGAAGAACAGTGTTGAGTCCCATGGCATAGCCGGCATAGCTACTCTCTTCCCCCTAGGACAAACACCCTGCAGGAACCATGGGTTCGTAGGGGATTGCAACGCATATTTCAAGGGACAAAAAGTGATAGGCTGTGTAAACAAAAGTGTCCGGGGGAATGGGATTACTAATGTGATTAATCAATCTCCATATATGAAAATTGGGGTTCCGATCTGCCAACTAATAATGAGTGACCTCATCGGGTCATCTCCAACTGCCGCCGTCAGAGCCGCGAAGATGAACAAGCCGAGCTGGGTACTTTGATGGAGGACCCCCAGGTGCAGCGCTGCGGTTCGGCAGGAATCAGTTTTATATGGAGAATCTCCATGTTTAATAGGTAAATCAGCGAACATCCATGGGCCATGTTCCAGAGAAAATTATGGTAATTTACTGGAAGGAAACCCCAAGAAGTGCTTGGTTTATGGTAGATTATGGTAAGTATATACACACATATATATATCTCTCTCTCTCTCTCGTCAATGCAGGTAGCATAAACATAAATAAACCAACTAAGATAATTGGGAGGCACCACCTTTCACCAAAATCCACTGGTGAAAAACATGGTTTTCCTGGCATCAACATGAACATTTTTCTTGGGGATAGCTTGGGGCTTGGGGTATTCCGGAATCTGCAGAGTTAGAGAAATGTATCTCCAGCGACCAAGGTCGATGTGTGGGTTTCCTATGACCAAGGGGACCATCAAGACAAGCGTCACATGCCATGAAACAGTTGGAAGTGAAATCAACATAAATCAACTATAAATGGCAATGTTCATCCAGTTTCAATAGTTGCCATTTTAAAAGGCAACCTGGATGTTTCCTATCGAGTTATGAATCCCCAGCATCCACCTCATAGCTCGCAACGGGACTGTAGATCTTTTGAAAATCGGCGATTTTCTGCTGCTATATATTCCGGGTGTTTCTCGAAATTGTGGTATCCCTTTTCAACCATTCTCGATTGGGTTTTCCCATGTTGGGGGTTCTTCAACTGGGGGATCCCCAAGTCACAGACGCGGCACTCATAGGCTTCAATGGTCGAGTCCAATGACTTGGATGATTTGGAGCTATCCTCATGACTTAGGAAAGCTGAGGCCCCCCAGTGATGTTTGTTGGTTTAGATTCGCCCCAGTAACTATAGTTATAAATACCATAAATCATAGTTATTGGAGTTATAAACCAACTTAGCTATCGAACGAGGGCCTCACATTGTAGGAAAGCTCCATGTAACACACCATTTTGGTTGTTTTGGGGTTCGAAATCACCACCAGGTTTGCCCTGTGCGCGGTCTCGGTGGCACAGACAACGTCTATGGCAAGGCCGGTGGAGAAACAAACCATGGCTGGGAAATCCATCGGACCCAATGGCGGATTTTCCAAAGATAATTTTGATGTTGGTTTTACAATATGTTGTTGAAGGTTTAAACACTGGTTGGTGGTTTGGAAGATTTGGATTATGACCAGTCATATATTGGGAAGAATGATCTCAACTGACGAACTCATATTTTTCAGAGGGGTTGAAACCACCAACCAGAATATGTTGATGAAGGTTTAAACATGTGTTGGTTTAAAATATGTGTCACAGAAGATTACTATTTTGATAAAGAAACGCTGTGCAACATATTTTGAGCTTTTGGGATAGATAAGGTTATTTTCTCTACATTGCGGTCTACCATGACTTTGTGTTCGATACTTTTCGTAGATGATGATGAGAGTATAATCAGAGTCAAACCACTAATCCTCTCTCCCTATTATTAAAACACCGCCCCCAATATTCCAATCAAAAACCCTACTGTAATATTTGTTTTAGGAAAAACTATTTCAATTTTGATTAAATATGTTATTAAAATCTATATAAAAAATATTGCCAAAAACTGGATTTCGAAGCTTTCCACTGATATTCCAATGAAAAAACCTAATACTAACAATAACAAAACTCGATTTCAAATTTGATTAAATTCCTTTTTAGAATCTATATAAAGTATTGCCAAAAACTGAATTTTGAAGCTTTCCCCTAGTAGTCCAGTGAAAACCTTAATAATCGAAGGAAGTTTAGAAGTCAAACTTCCGACAATATGAAAAAGCAGAGGTGGGAAGAGTCAGAGAAGAGAAGAGCAGAAGAGAGAAGATCAGAGAAGAGAAAGAGTGAGAAGAAAGAAGATGCAGGTGCGCGAAAAGGTAGAAAAGTCACGATTCACTTTGTTTTTCCAATGATTTGTGGCTCCGGAGGGTCGAAAAGTAGGCTCGCTAAAGCGGCGGGTGCGGAGCCATGTGGCCAGATGAGAGATGAAAAAGTGCACGTTGTTGTGACGCGAAGCACATTTCCAAGTCAAAATGTACAAAGCACACCATGTTCGGACCACTTTTGGACGTTGTGATGTCGAAAAAGTGCACCGCGTTGGGGCGCGAAGCACATTTCCAAGTCAAAATGTACAAAACACCCAGCTTCGGAGCACGTTTTGAGGTTGACATGTCGAAAAAGTGCATGCTGTTGTGGCGCGGAGCAAATTTCGAAGTCAAAATGTGAAAAGCACCAGATGTTCGGACCACCTTTGGAAGTTGAGATGTCGTTTTGCGTGGCTGGTGCAAGGGATTGTGCACCTTGTCAAAAGTGAGCAAAACGTGAAGGTTTTGTAGTATTTCCAAAAACGATGGCAGGCGTGGAACACTTGAAGAGGATTTGGCAGGTGAAATGTTTCGGATTGAATGGACAGCTGGATGGGCAGATAGAAAACTATATAGGTGGATAGACCGAAAGACAAATGGAAAGACAGACAGACAGATAGACAAGGAAATGGTTAGATATCGAAAGAGAAAAATAGAAAGAAAGATAGATAGACAGATAGACACATAGACAGGTCAGTTTGATGGATAGACGGCTGCATGGACAGATAGAGAGCTAAGCAGATAGATGGAAAGACAGATTGACGGATAGGGAGACGGACATATAATAGATAAGCACACAGAAAACTAGAAGGATAGGTAGATAGATAGACAGATAGATAGATAGATGGATGGATTGTGAAAGAGATACGTAGACAGATGGGAAGGCAGACAGACAAATTTGATGGATAGATAGAAAGATGAATGGATAGATAGATAGCTCGACATTCCAACCACTTTTCGGTCCATCAGTGGATTCGCTCTGCCATCCGTGATTCACAACAACTCACCTCTCCTATAGGTTTCCTATTTTTGAAACTTCCACCACCGCATTGTGCGGTACTACTGGTAACAATACAAAATAAAGTTTGTGAGATGGGTCCCTAATAGCAAAAACCTCCAGTTGGCAATCTATTTTCATTAGTAAAGGGTTGAACCCATTGTTTCACCATTGCGTTCTCCTATTGATTCTCAATTACCACAATGAAAATCCAGATGTGTCCAACCAAAAAAAAACGGAAGTGCCACACCAATCCTGTTGTTTTTATTTGGGGGGGTTTTAGTGGAAGACGGAATTAAATATGACTAATCAAATCAATTTGAATTTCAAGTTCGGCCCCCAGATCCCGCCTCAATAGTCACCACCCAGGTGGCAATCCTACTGCAAGTTTATCTCAGCCGCAGATACATTGACGTCCTGTGGCCTCAAATGGATGGATGCTTGTAGGGGGTTATACTATATGACTATATATATCTATATCTGGTTGGTGGTTTTAAACATGTTTTTTCCTATAATATATATGGGATAATCCTTCCCATTTGACTAATATTTTTCAATATGGTTAAAACCACCAACAATATATATATATATATATATAGGTGCGGATTATGGAACATAGGACTATCAAAAAAATGATCCTATCCCATCGCATTATCTTGACATTCTTATGATGCTCTGTTTTATGGCTCCTGTGGAGGGACAGACCTTGATTTCGCAGTGCTGGATAGATTAGGATATGTCTGCCATCCTAGAATTGATAGAGATGGAAAGAGAACTTTTGCGAGACTCAGAATATTTAGCAATAGATCTACCGGTCAAAACCCATGGGGGTTCCGATTTGAACCAGGGTTGCTCATGTTCTTTCAGCCAGAGGTGAGTTTCTCCAGTTGGAATGTTGGGGGCCTTGGGGCCTTGTTCCCTGGAAATCTGGGAAGCTCCAAGTGCTCAGCGTGATCTCAGGGTTTCAGTCTGGTGAGTGACTGCAACTACGTCCTGCAAAATGCCTCCAGGCGCCTCACTCGAAAATCCTGGTGATCTCCTGACCATCGATTCCGACCATAGACATCCATAGACCCTGCAATTATGATGAGTTTGGAAGACTTCAATTTCAAGAAATTGGTCAGTATCAGCATCTTAAGTTGGTTATCAATTGTTCATTGCCATTTATTTCCCAAAAAATGTTGATAGTGTGATTATTCCGTGATTATATCAATATGTCAGTTTGTCATGCTAAGGCGTGCTGCAGTTCGGAAGACAAACCTGGATGAGCAGATGTTAAAAGATCTTGAAAGTGATGAACGAATGGTGATGGTCCCGGTCCCATTAACTCCAGGAAGAACACAATGAATATGGCAAGAGTTGATGCAGTCCTATCCATATTGTGGAGAGTCGTTTGTTTGTCCTTGATGTTTGTATGCACTAATTCCATCCCCGAAAATGATATACCGCCCAAGTCCCCAATGTATAGTGTTGGATCTTGTCATTTTGGGGAGTGAATGGGGAGGGCTCACTGATGCTGACTGGGCTGCCAGGCTTTTCCGCGCATTGTTTGAGATTACCATGTCTTTAAGCTCAGATCGCAGAAAGCTGGCCATGGATGGCGAGTTTTTCTCATGGCCTTGTCGATATGTATTATTTGGACATAGACTATGAAGTATATCCAGATACATCCAAACTGCCCTGAAAGAAACGTACCCTATAGAAATTCTTAGAAAACAAAATCGAAAAATATATATGCCAATGATATGCATGATGTGACCATGCTTCTTATGACTTCGTAGGTTGAAGGTTGGATCAGGTTGTCCTCACCCCGTGGTCCAAGGACTCGAGTGACCAACATGAGCGAGATGAGCGACCGTCTCCTCGAGTGGTGCCAGGGACTCAGAGACCGAAGCTGGGAACGGAAGCTGGGGCTGCTTAAAGATCTATCTATCTATATATCATATTTAAAATGGTATATAATCGTACAAATGTATATGAGATATCCTGATATTTATATATGTATATTTATGTTTATAGTAGGTCGCAGGTTTCCTGAAAATCCGCAAATTTTCTTGAGACATGGTGATGACCAAACTTTAGCTTTAGCTTTTTCAGGCAAGATGATCGACCAGAGGCTGTGGCAAAGCTTGGGCACCCAGAATCCCTGGTGGCTCGTCGGGCCATCAATCAATACAGGCAAGGTCTGGCATGTGCCATGTTGAGCCCTCCGCTCCTGTCTACTTTCAATCATCTCACTTTAGACATGTTGAGACGCAAACTGTCCGCATATTCGAGCAAAAGTGTAGGCCAGGAGCATATAGATATTCTATGATTTTCTGGCAAACGTATTCTTGGAGTGCCGTTTGTTGCATCAGCCTTCAATTTGGATATTTTAAGTCTCCATCCCATCTTGTTCCACGTGCGCTCGAGGTCAGCATGTGTTGCGACATTTTTGCTACCCCCCTGGGAGTGCCAACAGCAACAAGGTGCTCCTGATATGTTGCGTACAGAGTACCGCCTGCTGGATGATGAAGTGAAACCTGCAGAAACAGTGGCAGTTGTTTTGCGCGCTGTCAGTTGCAACTTTACATTCAAGGCCTTTACATGCTCTGCCAAGTGTTTGAGCCTAGCACCTTGTGTTGGCATGGTAGACAGATAGTATCATACCGCTTCTAAGTATTCAAACTAGTTCCCAGTTGTTTGAGACATATTTTTTGCTGACTTAATATCATATTGCCTAGTATTTTATCCTACCCTCTGCAAATCAAACATGGTCTACTGGGGAAAAAACTAATGTATATATACGTATCCGTATATATATATAATATCTGTTTTATAGATATAGATGATTTCTTGCCATGTAACTAACTATTTAATAGAGGATTTTCCAGCTAGCCATGTTCGACTCCCGTTCAGGGCGGCAAATCTCTGGATGAAGGGCCCAAGGGCGGAGTGTTGAAGGAACAGATCGTCAAGAAGCTGGAGGCAGGGAGGAATGGGAGACGAGATGTATCGGGGTCCAAAAAGTGCTATGAATCCATATATTTATTTCGCCATTTTAATGAGGAACATGATGATAAACTCTTAAGAAACCATGGAATTTTGCCTATGAGATTATATTCAAGACAATGCTATGTTTATTTAATTGGGAACAGGATGATAAACCTGACGGTTTTTTTTCCGTGAAGCCTGTATATATAGTTGTAAGAACCAACTATTTTGGTGGGGCTACACCAGAGTACCTGTGTTTTGATATGTTTTGATGCAGACACATGTGGCCATCGTTTGTTTTCATAGATCCATATCAATGTATGTGAAGGGCGGTAATGATACAACCTCTTGATTACCTTCTTTCGCACAGACGCTGAGACTACTTTGATTGGAACATCAAATCAATATACAACTATACAAGTGCAGATGGTACAAGTAGCCAGAGTTGTCAGTCTAATGCGTCCCAGCAGATCGCAACCTTTTGCAGAAGATCGCACAAGAGGCGTCCATGTCATTCCTCTCTCTCTCTCTCGGTTTCTGTCTGGCCCAGTTCATTGGCAGAATTTCTCAATTGTTTGTATGTGTTTTTCTCCTTAACGGCATTTACAACAAATATAAAAGACACGAGAACGCATGCTGAATTTATGCGTCATGTGTAAAATGCACGGTTTGTGATTCATTAAAAAATGGATATACCCTGAAATCAACTGAGGAATCATCAGTTTCCCATCATTTTAAGCTTGTTTTATCTGGCCAATTTGCGGGGCTTTTTAGTGCCATGCCATGTCGACGACTGTGCCACATGACGGCAGGATGCCAATTTCGACTACTGGACCATCCTCAACATGACGGCCGGATGCTGTGTGGGCTATGTGGGCCATCGGGCCGCAGACGTTAGCCACGGACGTTAGCTCGGGCCAGCTGATCTTATACAGGCCGTGAGGCCCCCAATGGTGATGTGATTTTGTTGGTTAACAAAAGCCCCAGTAACTAGTTCGTTATTTACGTACCATAAACCAGAGTGAAATTGGAGCTATAAACCAACTGAACGCTATCGAACGGGGGCCTCACATTGTAGTATATATTGTAAGTGCTGAAAACAATCAATTAAGGACATCATATACATATCTGGTTGGTGGTTTGGAACATTTATCGTTTTTCCACATATTGGGAACAATAATCCCATTTGATTAATATTTTGTTTTTTCAGAGGGGTTGAAACCACCAACCAGATATATTATATATTATGTATATTATAACTAAGGATACCTAGCTATCACAGGATTCTAAGCAGTCTTTAACATTTTAAACTAATTTGATTTGATTTGCCAATCTAAGTAGGTTGGCAACATGGCTGCATGAACTTTGAATATTAATTGTTGTGTCGGATATGTATGTCCGCAACGGGCCCGGGTCCAAATGATTTCATCCTGGCTACTTCAATTCAACCAGCAGATTGTTGGAAATACTCAGCAAATGGGTCTGTTGGAAAATGGATTGCCCTGAAAATCCAATGGATGATTATGTTCTTTTCGGTATATTATCAATTTTTCTTGGTTTGTGTTGGTATAGTTAAAGCTTCCCAATTACATCTCCATATATCACTGTTCGATTGGGTCTAATCAATCAGTTTCGGACAACATAATACAGTGTTGTGTTTTTATTTCCTTCCCATCAACATATATAGTAACTATATCCCGGTGACTTCTGAAAACATATTTGCTGGTCATCTTTTTTTGCAACCCCATACGAGCATATATTGTTGCTTCTGAGGCTTGCTCCAGTATAGGTAAATTTTCGCCACAGGCAGGGGGAAGTGGTAATCTTACCTCTAGATCGAGCCATGTTCCATCATTTTCCCGTGATTTCCCCCCCCACATATTTGGGGTGTCTGGGAACCATGCCTTGGGCAAGGTCAGCGAGCTGACAAACATCACTGGCAGTAAGGATTGGGGCAGGGCAGTGGACAAATACATGAGGCGCGGCCGTGGTTGGATGGCGTCCTGGGGGGAATTTGTGATGATTAATCAACTGGTTGGTGATTTCAAACATGAATTTTCCTTTCCGTAATATATGGGATAATCCTCCCCATTGACTTATGGTTGGTGGTTTGGAACAGCCGCGGGCTCAACACCTTCCAGCTGGTGCGGCCGTCCCAGCTGAGCGTTGAGAGTTCGTTCCTCGCTTTCGCCATGGCACTGACCCTGGAGATCTGTCTGGTCTTGGACATTGTGGTCTTTGTTTCCTCCCTTGAAGGTCACTTGCTTCGGAATCGAGCAACTGGCAACCTGGTCAAGTACAGTGGACTGTTGAAAGGGGGTTATGACTCAGTGACACTGATTGATGCGGTGGTGGGGCGACAGTTCCTGGTTCCTGCCACTATACCAGTGGAGCCAGCACCATGGTGCTCCATCCTGCTGTGCCATCGTGGGCGAACTTGTTCAAACAGATTGATGCTTGTCGTGGCCAATCTGTGGAAGTTTCCTACCATCAGACCCAGCGTGCGAACTTTCTCCAAGCCCAGTTGCAATCTCAGACTCAGCAGTTGTATGGGCAGATTGAAACGCAGAATCATAGTATTCAAGCTGTGTTGGTGACCTGGCCCTCTCACATTCGGGGGTTGTTGTCCAATCGTCCGAGAGAGGAAGGTGAATGATGGGGAGGGCGTGAGCCATCTGGTTGGTGCAGTGTCAGGACTGCTCCTTTGCTTGTTTACTGGCCAATGGTGGCTCTTGTGCCCGACTTTGTGCTCCTGACGTTGGGGTTTGCATCGGCACTGTCTCGTGAGAAAGTATGGTCGTCTGCGAAAAAAAGATGGTTGTGCTTCTTGTGTTCTACAGTGTTTTCAGGGTCAGGGTGGCCTTTCACCCGGGTCCTGTGGATGCCATTTGTGACGCCAATTTTGTCTTGGATGCTGCCAACTCTTTGGGCCTCCAAAGCGATGCTGGTGATGTTGTTACAAACATGTTCCGGGAGTTGTGGGCCATGCGTGAAACACACCTTGGTTCCTGGGAGTTGCAGTCTTTCACCTCCGGTCTGCGTTTTGTACAGTCGCCGTTCAGTGAAATTAGTCGCCTTGCCAATTTTGACGTTATGTCTCAGTACTGTAGGCCACAGAGCCACATGATATGTATGCATGCCAGCTGCTTGGCGCTACCGTTTTATGGATGGCTGGAGAACGCTGACAGGGGGTGTTTTCAATTAGGTGCTGTTCCCTTCAGAAGCCAAGCTAGGGTTTTGGATCACCTGCAAGTTCCGGTGTGACATTGTCCCGTTTCAACCACAGTCAAGGCACTATTTTCGAGACTAAGGCAGTGCGCCAATCAAAGTGGTCAAAGTGGTGGTTTGGAACATTTATTTTTCCATATATTGGGAATTTCATAATCCCAACTGACGAACTCATATTTTTCAAGAAGGTTGATACCACCAACCAGTTGTGAACATGTGTGGATTCTTGTTTTCAGACAAGCCCGGCAAACCCGGCAAAGTTGATTTAGAAACACCTTTCACTAGATATCTGTGACAAACCTGATGGAAAAACTATAGTTATACACGATATATACATCAACTCAGCTAACTATCGGGGAGGTGAGCCGGACGCATGTCGACAGCTTTCTAACACCGTAGCCATGGCAGATCATGAGTTTCAACAAGATGAGGTAAGCCCAAGAATCATTGCTATTGTGGGCAAAACAATGTCATAAACTACCCGTGACTGGGAATAGTTTCTACACCCCACCTATAAAAATGGTGATGACTGGGGGATGGTGAGGACCTAAAATTGGGTAACCACTGGAACCACAGGCGAGTTCCGAACTTGACCTTGGACGCGAAGATTCAGCCAATCACATCGATGATTATGAGGTGCACAGTCCACAGTGTGAAGAGCGGTATGCAAAGCTTTTTTGGTGGGTTGTGTGAAAATCTGAGATTATTGCCTCCAACATGGCCTCTAAAATGGCCATAAGAGTTATATATATATATATAATCATAATACATATATATATATACATATATAAATGGCAAACATACAGAACTTGTGTTCAAAACTGCGAGAAGTTCTTCAAGATGCCCCAATCCCAGCAATCCGAAGGGGATTTATCCTTGGATCCACGTGATGATCGTGATCCGGCCAGGATTACGTTGACCATCAAACCCGAGTTCGATTGGAGTGATCGCTGGTCAGGGTAGGACACTCAGGGGCTGAGAGGTTTTCTCGGACTGAGAAGTGTACAGGGGGCGTGTTCTGTGTGAGAAATATCAACAATCGCAGTTGTGGGGTATTCCATTCTCAGACAAACACACGTGCTCGTAGCAATTCTTACAAGTTGAAAGTGAATGCTGGGTAAAATTCTGAATTGACGGATCTTGAGGATCTAGGCAGAGACATGGTGTAGGGTCAGCAGGCCAGAAGAAGCAAATTTGAAGATAGAAACAAGTCCTAACTAGATCTAACTAGCATGTTTCTGCATGTGTTTCTGTTTTGATGTTCCCATTAACTTGTCACAAATTTGCCGCAAAAATGGGATGGTGTTTGCCTCAATTTCACGGAGACAATGGCCTTCGTTTCACCTATAGTTTCAGGTAAAAAAAACTCGTTGAGGTGGAAAGCAACTAACCAATTTCCAGCTCGAAAACCAATTTCACAGGATTTATGATTTATATTATATGATGTTGTATCATCTAATTCAGGTAGATGTATGTGATGCATGCAACAAGTGGACCTGTCAGGTTTTTTTTCAACCAAATGGATCCAGCCGTACGGAAGTCGTCCAGGCCAAGTGAGCCATTTTGGGTCTGGGTGGAGAATCCCGAGTCACAGGTGCGCCTGCGGATCCCCTGGACATGGACCTTCGTTTTGTAGAAACATCGGGTAGGTGTATCATGAACTGGCATAGTACAATATAATATAATGCCGATGCTTCAAAAGGACGTTTACATTTGAAATGTGTTTAAATAAATGTATTGGAAGAGTAGAGCTTGAACTTAGTTACCACTCAGATTTCTTGCGTGTTGTTAGGGGCACTCTTTTTCGACAACTGTCCCCATTGTTGGATTTGCATCAATTAGGATAAGGATGGAATGCTTCGGAGGACCAAAAGAGATGTACACTACCGACATCTACCAACGCTGTTGTCGACCTTGTGGAACATCCTTCCTGGATGAGCACAGTCAATGAACGGGCAGGTATAAATGGTTCCAATAGCCACAGGATATTATACTGTAGTGGTTCCAATAGCACAACTTCCCTTAGCTGACTTCATGGCCTAAAGGTTGCTGTTTTCACCTTTGTCCGCCAAAGGACATTCTTCACAGTGAGTACTATGTGCTGCACAAGAGGCCGACTGGCTGCGCACCGTTGATTCTTTGCACCTTGTGACTGGTTGCGGAATACACAGTTTGCCAGGCTATGCTGTCTATGCTTTTGTATGAAGACTGAAACTATCTGAAACTTAATCGTACTCGATCCCTTCTTGGATGATTCCATGATACAGGGTTTGTTGAAGTCTGGATGCGAAACGAGTGAAGAACACTTCTGGCACACAACATCTATCAGTGCAACTGTCTGGGCATGTTTCACTACTTTAGGGTTTGGCCCTAACATGGCCATTTGAATGTGGAAACAGCCCGGCCCCATGGCCATGTCCTTTAACGCAGAACATGATGAACCACCCGATTCTTGGATTATGCTTGCCGTAGCTCCAATTGTTGTTCGGTATTGAACCATCCATTCAAAGGGGCTTTCACAGAAACCATGACCTACCTGCTGGTAATTTAAGGTAGCTAAGGAAAATGGCCCAGTTGTAGTTGATTTACCCGTTAGACATGGTGATTTTCCATATAGTTGTGTTAGTTTACCAGAGGGTAACTCCCCAAGTGTGAATTCACTAACATCGATTACCCTGCTGTAGACCAACAAGATGTGGAAAAGCCGCCATGTGGATTGTATACAGCATTTTCCCACCCAAAAAAAACACAACAACATGGTAGCATGGGTGTTCCACATCGTTTTCTCTATAGTTTTAGCCCACATGAGCTATAGAATCATGATATCAATCATTTTCCAGCAAAACAAAAACAATATAGGAAAAATCATATCAGTCATTTTCCTATATCATGAAACATCCCTATACAAAAATAAAGAAAAAACAGCCTCGGGTGTTTCACCATGTTTTTTCGTAGCTTCATGGTGGACGTTCGGCGTTTCTTCCTTCGGCCACGCCAGGAATCTCCAGGACTCAGGTGCGGAGCGGGGGTTCCGGGGGTGAGCGCTTTTCGTAAGTCACTAGAGAAATGGAATGATCACTAATATATACTGGTTGGTGGTGACTGGAACCATGGAATTTTATGACTTTCCCATCATCTTGGGAATGTCATATATATAATATAATATAATTTGTTATAGAATATCATTAATAATGGTTAATAATGGTTAATAATGGGATTAGTGGTTGGTAGTGACTGGAACCATGGAATGTTGAATGACTTTCCCATCATATTGGGAATGTCATAATCCCAACTGACTTTCACTCCATGATTTTTCAGAGGGGTAGGTATACCACCAACTAGTATAGAATATATTTGTTATAGAATATCATTAATAATGGTTCATAATGGTTAATAATGAGAAATGGAATGATCACTGGTATATATAGAATATATTTGTTATAGAATATCATTGATGATGGTTCATAATGGTTAATGATGAGAAATAGAATGATCACTAAGATATATGTAATATTTGTTCTAGAATGTCATTAATAATGAGACATGTAATGACCACTAAGAGAGAGAGATATATATATTTATATATATATATGTAGAATATATATATAATTATATATATATGTTCTAGAATATCATTCATCATGGTTAATAAAGGTTAATAAGGAGACATGGAATGATCAGTGATATATATATATATAATATTTGGTATAGAATATCATTAATAGTGCTTAATGGTTAATAAGGAGACATGGAATGATCACTGATATATATATATATAGAATATATTTGTTTTAGAATCTCATATAGAATATCAGGGAATCAGTTGGCATAATGATCACCCCATCGTTTTGCCGTTGATAACCATAGAAGATATATAGAAGTCACTGGTATGTGAGGCTTTAACTATAGAGTGAAATAGCCATTATACATGTTTTGATAACTATTAATAATCAAGTAACTGGTCTACAGGGCTTTGACTGTAGAGTGAGATAGCCATTGGTTTTACCAGTAGTACCGCACAAGGCGGTGGCGGAAGTTTCAAAAATAGGAAACCTATAGGAGAGATTGGTTGTTGTGAATCAGGGATGTCAGGGCGAAGCCACTGATGGACTGAAAGGTGCTTGATCTCTCTCTCTCTCTCTTTCTCTCTCTTTCTCTCTTTTTCTCTCTGTTTCTCTATCTTTCTCTGATTATCTACCTACCTACCTACTGATCTATCTGTCTATCTATCTATCTATCTACCTATCTATCTATCTATCTATTTATCTACCTATCTATCTATCTATCTATCTATTTATCTATCTATCTATCTATCTATCTATCTATTTGTCTGTCTGTCTACCAGTAGTACCCGCACGAGGCGGGGCGGAAGTTGCCTTAAAGATATATATAAGACTTTTCTCATCTATAGAACTTGCATGCGCCGTGCGCCAGCGAAGCCCGTGCGTGCGTGCACTCTGCGAAACTGGTGTCTTGTTTCATTCACATGTCACATTTGAAGCTCCACGTCACACTTCACACTTGACAGTCTTCACACTTCACACTGCACTCTTCACACTGCACCCTTCGCAGTCAACACTGCCACACTTCACACTGCACTCTTTGCACTCCAAACTTCACACTTCACAGTCCACACATCACACTTCACACTCCACACTTCACATTCCCTAGCACCAAAACCGGATCTCGACGCCAAAGCAGAAAAAAGATGATTTTGAAGCACTTTTTAAAGGATTTTTAAAAGGAAAATTAAGAGCGCCAAAATTGCGAAAATCTGCTGACAAATCACTATCGCAGCCTGGATGCAGCCACTCCAATACGATTTACGAGATCTAGCTGCAAAAGACAATAGTATTGCGCATGCAGCCGCGGCACCGAGCAACCTTGACGCAGCCACTACAATGCGATCTGCAGAGACTGAGTTGCAAAACACAAAAGAACTACGCGCAACGGTGTCGAAAATTGCAGCTTCAAAACCGGATCTCCACGCCAAAGCAAAAAAACGATTTTGAAGCATTTTTTAAAATGATTTTTAAAAGGAAAATTCCTAGCGCCATAGTTGAGAAAATCTGCTGACAAATCACTATCGCAGCCGGGATGCAGCCATTCCAATACGAATTACACTATTCAGCTCAAAAGACAATAGTATTACGCATGCAGCGGCACGAAGCAACCTTGACGCAGCCATTACATTGCGATCTGCAGGAACTGATTTGCAAAACACAATAGAACTACGCACACAGGAACAACCACTCGTTGCAAAACACATAGGAGGAACAATTCGCGACAGAAACGACCCCAGCCGCACCCGCCGCACAGACGAGGTACCTTTCATCGCCGGCTGCAGCCACTTGACACGGAAAAACACAAGGTTTCGTGCTCCGGCTTCCTCCCCAAAACATAGCCCATGCAACATTCACGCAGCCATTCCAATGCGATGGGCAACCACAGCTTCAAGAACCGCATAGAACTACGCACACAGGAACAACCACTCCTTGCAAAACACATAGGAGGAACAATTCGCGACAGAAACGACCCCAGCCGCACCCGCCGCACAGACGAGGTACCTTTCATCGCCGGCTGCAGCCACTTTACACGGAAAAACACAAGGTTTCGTGCTCCGGCTTCCTCCCCAAAACATAGCCCATGCAACATTCATGCAGCCATTCCAATGCGATCTGCAACCACAGCTTCAAGAACCGAATAGAACTACGCACACAGGAACAACCACTCGTTGCAAAACACATAGGAGGAACAATTCGCGACAGAAACGACCCCAGCCGCACCCGCCGCACAGACGAGGTACCTTTCATCGCCCGCTGCAGCCACTTTACACGGAAAAACACAAGGTTTCGTGCTCCGGCTTCCTCCCCAAAACATAGCCCATGCAACATGCATGCGTCACCACTTCCCATCGTCACCACTTCCCATCGTCACCACTTCCCTTTGTCACCACTTCTAAAGTCTCACACCACCCTTCATCAAAGTGAATTCTTTTCTGATGTATTGTTATGTAGTGTAAAGTCTCACACCACCCTTCATCAAGGTCAAGTCTCACTCGCGCACCACCCTTCATCATAGTCAATTCCATCAAGTAAAAGTCATTCGTAACTCGGAAGT